CCCCGTGCTTGTGACACTTCAACTTCTAACAAAGCCTAAACTTCCTTGCCTATGCCCTGTGCCCGCCTCTTGACGTCCAATCCAAACAACGTCAGGCAGGGGGGAGGAGGAGGCGGAAAGGGGGGGGGGTGACGAATGGCTAGTAAACGGTTTGGTCCCATGCAGTTTGTTTTATTCGAGCTCCACTGCAGTACGACACGGAACAGACGAACACTTTTGATGGCAGTTTTGGTGCGCCGCAAGAGGCCGTGCGCGCGGGCTCGACGACGATCACGACGGGACCTCGGCGAACAGGAGGATGGCGAACGTGAGGAGGAGCGCGACAAACGCGATGCCGTCGGTGAGCCGCGCTATTTTCCTCCAGGTCATCGGCTTGACGACACCCGCCTCCTGCAAACATGACGGGGTTCATGTCCTGCTGCACCCTCCCCCTCTCGCCCCGCCGCACGCACACCTACCTGTCGGTCCACCGCGGACCCCGCTTCTACGGCCACCTGACTGACGTCGGCCTGCTCGTTGTTGTCGTCGTCGTCGTCCTCTTCCTCCTCTAGCAGCATGCCGGTGACGGGGCGCGCGCGCTGCAGCAGCCAGGACGAGCCGCCCGACAGCCAGGGCGGCGGCGTGTCGCGCCGCTCCGAGAGGTTGCGCAGCGCGATGGTGAGCAACACCACCAGGGTCGCGATCACCAGGCTGTTCCGGTAAAACAGGACTGCAAAGGCAACGGGGGTGTCAGGTCGCTGGTACACTCGGTGGTACCGATTATCTGTCCCGTCGTTTCATACTGGGCAGCCAAACCAACCAGCATGATGCAGTACTACTTACTGACGAGCGGCGCGCTGCCGTCGGTGTCGTCCGGGACGGTCTCGCTCAGGCACTGCAGGTACATGCACAGGCAGGCCACGGACGTGAGTCCCAGCAGCAGCCGCCCGGGCCAGCGCGGGTCCACCCACAGCTGCGCCAGCACCAGGCACGGCAGCACTGACCGCCACAAAACAATACACATGCCAAATGTTAGTCGACAGTTTCGTTCCGCCCTTCAATGAGCTACCCCTACAATGACCGTTCGGAGGTATGACACGGAAAAAAAGAATTTGCTCTCACAACTAACGATTTAGTTAACATGGACATAACAAACAATTTTAGTTGCAGAAGCAAAGAATTTGCTCTGGGAACCAAAATTCTGCTGTCACAACTAACGCGTCGCTATGGTAACAAATGCGTTTGTTGTAAGAAAAAAAACCTCGTTTAGTAACCAGAACAGTTGCATTTGTTACCATAGCCGACCATAGCGACGCGTTAGTTGTGGCAGCAGAATTTTGGTTCCCATAGCAATTTCTTTGTTCCTGCAACTAAAAATTATTTGTTATGTCTATGTTAACAAAATCGTTAGTTGTGGGAGCAAATTCTTTTTTTCCGTGGATGCCTTACCCGCTCGAGCCCCTTGAGCGCTCAGAGGGTGGGCCGCCGTCTGCACACAGCTGCTTGGCGGGTTGGCCTACCCAATGAGTCGCAGGCGCCATATCGCGTCCCTAGGACTCACCCAGGGTCCAGGGTGGGCACGTCTACGGTGAGCGCGTGGACCTGCTCGTGACGGTACTCACCCAGGGTGGGCACGCCCACGGTGAGCACGTGGACCTGCTTGTTCCGCCGCAGCTTCAGGTGCATCTCGAGGCGGGAGAACTGGAAGCCGGGCTGGGAGGTCTCGCGCGGGATCTGCTTCGCCTCCACCACCACCCACTCGTGGCTCGCGTCGTCGGCAACGTACAGCTCCTGGGGAGGGCGGATAAGAGGTGCGGGGATAGAATAGACTTCTACTTCTCTGGAAGTTGTACAGAGAGGGAAGGGCGGGGTGAGCTCAGGGGTAAAGGTGTGATAGTGTGATACAGCAAAAACAGTCCTGTAACACCTAGGGAAAAGGAAAAGGGGGGGGGGGGCAAGGGAGAGGGGTGGTCAGGTGACAAGCGGCCTTCCCCCACCGGGCCCGTGGGAGGCTCGCTATGCGTGGCCCACCATTTGGGGCTCGCCATCGGCAAGGGGCTCACCGTACTGTTGAGTTCCACGGAAATCCGGTACTCGCGGCTGTCGTGGTTCCTGCTCGACAGCTCAAACACGCACTCGTGCTCGTCCAGGGGCCAGCGGCGCGCCGAGTTCCCGCACGTGGTCTGCAGGTTGAACACCGGGTTGCAGCTCACGTTGCCCATCGACGTCACCCGGCACCGCAGCTCTTCGAACTCTCGCTGAAGGCTGTGTGTACAGAGACGATTCAAAGTTGAAGTGCCGGAAAAAGATTTTCAGAATCGCGCGGCCGGGTGCGCTAACCCAGCCCAGCCAGATGTCCCATGTCGAAATTTGATCGATTTCGTAGATCGGCGCAAAGTCGACGTCGATTCGAAAGGGGTGTTTTGTAGGAGAAGTGACTTACGAGTTGAGCGCTTCCAAGTCCGGGACCCAAATCTCTCGGTCGCTGAAGACGACCTCACTCACGTCGGAGTACCCGGTGGGTTCCCAACGAAGGCGAGGGTCGTTCCACGACCAGCCCAGGTCGACTAACATCTGCAAGATGCCACGGTGCACGTCCTGGAGGATAAATGGGGGTTCATTGACTTGCGGGCGGGGGG